TGACACTAAGCTCAGTGAATGCTAATGGGGTAATTTACTGTGTGAAACTAGAACTGCAGAGAAAATTAAGATAATGAGTTACGTGGATTTCCTAGGAGACTTAAGGTGAAGTCTGTTGTTAATATGAAACTCACCATCTGGTCCAGTTTAGAATTAGGTCTCCTTGCCACGTAATATGGTGTCTGGGTTCTTGGCCACCTCGGTCTTGCAGTTGACCTGGTCAGCAGGCCTGTGCTTCTCTCTGAATTTCCGATGCCAGTACTCTCAGGCCACATTTCCATTTTTGTCTTCTGGGCCTGCTTTTTCTCCATTCCACAAGGCACTTGCTCTGAGCCTGCAGAAAACATGATGCATCACCCATGCCTCAGCCTTTGCTGCTAGGTAATGTCCTCTTGGCTGCTGCAGTTCTGTGGGTGCCTCCTTGAACCACTGAGCTTGTTTAACACATGGGGCTTATGCCTGTAGCCATGTGATTGCCCTGGCAGCACCTCACTCTCTTATAGGTCATTTCCCAGGACTCCTGTGCACCCCAGCTCCTTGTTGAAGAATCTTCATACAAACTAACCTTCCTTTAGGTCAGGGTCCGGGTTAAAAGATAAAACTTCAGAATACAGAGCTCAAGGAGTTACCTCTGTAATTAATCAGCAACTGCAGATCTGCATGTTGGTCCCCATGGTTCCTTCTGGTTATTCTTTATGGCTGTGGTTTCCTTAACTCAGAACCCCACAAGTGGCTATGATGCACTGCTTCTCCATGGGTGACTTGTTTTAGTTACAAACTACAATGCAAACTGCACTAATGTGTCAGATAAGCAAGGAGTGGAAAGTTTTCAGTAGTCTCATGAACAGAATAAAAAGGGGTAGATTAAATCAGTGTAAAATGTTGTGTTCTCTATTCATCAGTAGTTTTAAAACTGAGTAATAGGATGGTAAAAATAGAGCTCCCAAAAATAAAGCTCATCATTGGAGGGAAAAGTTTGACAGAGAGGCTCTAGTTTGCTCTTAGTTTGAGGAGATAGCTAACTGTTTCCCATGTTTAATTTTCATAATGGTTCCTTCTTCAGTTAATCATTCGTTTCTCAACTTGTGTCAGGATAAGCCCTTTGCACATTTTGGCAGATACTGTCCCTACTCCTCACAACTATTTTTCAAGGCAAATGTTACTTATTTAGCAACAGGTATTTTGTGGGGAGTGAGCCTGGCTGTGAACTGAGTGATGGGAAGCAGTTTGGTGTTCCTGCCCTTATGTGTCTGGCATTGCCGGAAAGACAGACAAATGAACAGATCACAGAACACCCGTGTGTTCTTGTACACTCTTCAGGAACGTGTAGCTTCCTGCAGTCCTGTGGAGGGCACATGTCACACCGACTCATGCCGGAACTCATGGTCATAATATTTATGAATCTCTCTGTGGCAATGCTTGAAAAGATGTTTGGCAAGGACGGCAATTGCAGGTTTTATAGCAAAATGTTGAAAAAGCTCATTGGCAGGAAAATGGCAAAAGTTTTGTAAGAATCCCTCCAGAGTCTTCATTGTGGTCCCTTTTGGCCAGAAGGTTGGAGAGGTAGGAGAGGTGCAATTTTTATATGTTACTATTTTACTTCAATGTGGCAAAATAAATGTGATTTGTTTTGAAATACTTTCAAAAGTCAAATTTTATTTTAAATAAAGATAGTAGGGCAGTTATGTTCTGGTTCTGTGGGGACATACAATACCCAGGTTGGGGTGAGAGAAGGTCAGGATAGGTTCCCTGGAGGAGAAGACGGGTTTGCTGAGCTCAGGATGAGCCTGTAAGCCATGCCAGGGGACACAGAGAAGAGGAGCACGTTGCTCAGGAGCATCCCCAGCTTTCTGGGTAGGCCTTCAAAGCAGCCCGCCCTGGTCTCCATGGCTTCCTCTTGCTCCCTTGCCTGCATGCGCAGTGCTCCAGACACCCTTCCCAAGGGCTTCTCAGGCTCCATTCTTTACTTGCTGCTGTTCCAGTTCACACATCTCGGACCATTGAGAAAAAAACATTGAGAAGAGACCGCTGTCTGCTCCCCGCCTCCTCCTACTCCAACCTGTCCTTCACTCTGCCAAGTGATCCTTTAAAAATGCAGTGTAGACTTTATTTCCTTTCATAGACTTCCTCAGTCACCCTTTATCGTGTCTCCTTGCTCTTCTTCTCCATCTCCTCTCTCTCTCCTCCTCTTTCTCCTCCTCCACTGAACTCAGGACCTTGCACTGGTGAGGCACAATGCTTTCCTTACTCTTCTAAAGCAGATGTGAGAAGCCTTACTCACACAATTACCTGTTATTTATGTCACCCCAAATGATCTTCATGTCCTTCTAAATGCCAGTCTTCTTACCTAACAAGGGAGGAGGAGGAGGTAATGAAGGAAAATCTGTGATGTGAGTATAGTATAGTTGATTATTAATTTATTAACTTAGAAATAGTCTCACCTTTCTTCTAGGATTTAATGCCCAAATTTCCTGTTATTTTTAACAACTCAGAAATTGAAACGTGTGGAGAAAATAATCTTTTTGTATCTTTGAAATGTTTTCTTTTATGAATAGATTTTGGAATGACAAGATTTGAGAATCTGCCATTAATTTATTACTTGTCTATTCCAAATCCAGATAGAGCTTACTTTTATAAAATGCAGGTTGTTCTAAAAATACTACATTAACTAAATAGTCTTTATTTCTTTGGCTAATAATGAGTTAATAAATAAGAGACATAAAACCAGGTGATAGAGCTCAGAAAGATGCACTGTTATACTTCCATCCCCCTTATTTTCCAAATTTCTCTTTATCATTTTCCTATTACATAATTTAACAAATTACCCTTGTTAAATAAGTACTGGGAGTTGGTTTCGGCTTGTTGATTTTCAGAAATGTTTGCATTTAGAAACACATTCTTCAGGACTGTATTAATATACTGTCGACTGGCTCCCCCTGGTGGAAATTAATGTAAAATATTTAAGTATCCCCTGACCCCCCATTTTGTGGACTAGTTGGGTAGAGCACAGGTTGTAGTTTTTAAGGGTTTTAGTGGAAAAAAAGGGACAGAAAATAATACATTTTTTAAAAATACATAACTTATAGAAAATGAATACATTGCTATTAAATAATAGCAATAATATTCATGATGATAGTTCTTCTATTACTGTTTTTCTTGTTGTAAAGTAGTAGTAGTGTGGGGACCACAATGTAAAATGCACTTTTTATTTTTATTGTTGTGAGAACACTTAAAATCTCTGTTCATAATTTTCTAAAACACGATACAGAGCATTGTTACTATCTGCAGTCACCATGTAATTAAATTTTATTTCTGTATAATTTATTTTATGTAATAAAAGCTCACATTTATTGAAAAAACCGTTCGATTGGCATTATGTTATTTAATTCTTTCCATAAATTTATGAGGCACTGAGCAGTTATTAATGGCACTTTACAGAGGCTGGTGAAGGTGAGCTTAGGTGGGAGCTGGTGGGCCAGAGCCCTGATGTTCTCACTGCCCAGACATGAGTTTCTGACTGCAGCAGTGTCTGCCTTCTCCCAGCAGGCAGGAGGTGAATACATGTGTGGCTAATACTCCTGCAGGCCTCTCCCCCATCATTCTTCTTTTTTCAGACAGGGTCTCACTGTGTAGTTGAGACTGACCTGGAAATCACTGTGTAGCCCAGGCTGGTCTCAAACTGACAGCCATTCTCCTGCCTCAGCCTCCCAAGTGCTGGGATTACAGGGGTACGCCACCATGCCTGACTCTGCCCTCAATTTTAATGGGCCATATAGCGGGAGCCCCAAGTTTTGTTTTCTTCAGTTTTGAAAATTACAGCAAATTATATCCATTATCACAAAAATAGACTTTATGAGAAAATTATATCTTAAGTCGTTGCCTTCCTCGCTAAAGTCTTAGAGTAAGATGATATTAGGTTTAGTGTGTAGCATGTTAGCTATCTTTTTTGGACCAGAAATTGAACTCAGGACCTTGCACTTGCCAGGCAGGTGCTGTGCTGCTGAACTAAATCCCTGGCCCCGTGTGCTAGCTATTCTTATTATCTTATTATTTTGTTAGGAAAGTTTGTTTTATTTTCACATAAAAAATTACTCCCCAAAACTTTGAAGGAAGAATAAAATTGTTAAATACTAATGCTAAAACAATAGCAGGGCAATTTAGATACCTAATGTCTTCTTAAAGAATCTTTAAAATAAATGTTCAAGGGTAATTTATGAAATTTTTTTTCTGAAAACAGAGGCAATTTCTTTGAAGTTGATGATTATAAAGAACTGCTACCATTTAAGTATTTTATATGTGTTATTTAATTCTTACACTAGTTTAATGCTCATTAATTAACTGTTACTAGAAGTATTATCTAGATGAAGAAAGTGAAGCTCAGAGAAGTCCTGTATTCATCCAGAGTTGACTGGCTATTCATGGGAAAACCAGGATTTGAATTCATGTGGTCTGGCTCAAGAGCCCATGCTCCAAACCCCTTGGCTTCACAGGAGCATGGTCCAATAGAACTTGCTGCGATGATGGAAATATTTGATACCTATATCGCCCAGGAAATACCTCTGGTGTTTGAGCACTTACAATGTGGCTAGTACAACTAAGGAACTGATTTTTTGTTACTTAAATTTTAATTTATATAGTTTCTTGTGGCCAGTGGGTACTATACTGGAGAACACAGCTTTTTGTGGTCTTTCAGAACCCATAGATGTAGAGATACCAGATATTTGGAGTCTCCAAGTCTCTTTGCTTCACTGACAGGGAAACCACAGCTCAGATGAGTTAACAATCTGCTAAGTCATAAAGTTAAAGATGGGGACAACGTGTAATACAGGTGTTCATGCTTCTAAATTATGGCTCTTCCCATTCTACAACTCTTTGGCATCTGACATTTTTCTATTTTGCTACCATTGTAAAGAGGGAATTGGAATACTGTTGGTTGAGGGAAAAAAAAATCTTATCCTCTCTCACATATATGACTAATAAATATTTTCCTTTTTTCTCAGGTTATAGAAACGTTATCATGGCTCTCTCGTACACCAATAGCATTGGCCACAGGGATCAGGTAAGCTCGTTTCCTTGTGGTTCATCTGTCACATTCAATTCAGTGTAATGATTATGTATTGGGTAATTCCTGTTCATAAAACATTTTGTATTGAAGGACTGTGTGTCATTCATGACAAGTATGTGATATATAGGTGCCAAATGCACCTTTGAAGTTTATTGAGCAACTAAAAATTAGTTCGTACAGTTGAATATGGTCTATTGGCTAAAATCACTTTCCATTCACTAGTGATTAGCACTGGTATGTTTCTGTTTTTCAATATTTTAATACTTCCAACAAAAACAAAGCTTAACACAATAATCAAATCAGGCAAATATAAATTGGTGTGTGTATAGATTGTGTTTGGAAGGTTTGGTAACATATTAAAAACTTAGCGGCTGGGGATTTAGCTCACCTGCTTTGCCAGCCCAAGGTCCCAAGTTCGATCCCCAGTACAAAAAAAAAAAACAAAAAACAAAAAACAAAAAAAAGCAAAAAACTTAAAAGTAAATTAATTAAATAAATTATGTCATCTCCTTGCAATGCTGTATTACACAGTTGGTAAACATGGTGATATCTCTGGATGGAGCACTGAAGTGGGTGTTGTGGGGCCACCCTACAGGTGCATGGCAGGGGAGGATGAGATAAGCACACATGTGTGTCCTCAGCCGCACATGTGTCTGTGGTGGCAGCTGCGATTGCTGCGGATGATTTGGGGCAGCAGGTTTCGCAGCCTCGTGGCGGAAGCCCAGTCACAGCTGCTCAGAAGACAGTGTAGGAGAAGCCCCAGACCTCAGTAGACTTGGGCGGTGACTATCTTGGCAGCGGAGAGGCTTTTACAATAAGTGAGAGGTAAATGTTCAGGTTGATTGCTACTCATTCACCCCTTTTTTTCCTCCGTCCTAGGCCTTTTCCAACAGAAGAAAGCATTGATGATGAAGACATCTACAAAGGCCTTCCAGACTTGATAGAGTATGTTGAACATTTTCAGTAAAATTAAGCCTCTGCCAATTTTGATGTCTAGCATAGATCTTAATTGGGGATGTAAAATAAGCTCTGTGAAAGGTGAAGGTGATTTAATGATTACGACATGTATGAATTAACCTTAAGCTTCTGACAGCTACCATGAAAGACACATACTGCAACTTGCTTTTAGTTCCTCTCATGTGTCTCTTTGAGTGGTAAAGAAAGAGATTGTAGTCAAGTAAAATTTGAACACTTCTCAAAGGCATAACAGAGTAGTGGATAAAATAGGTATTAGACAATGAGGGAATAATTAAAAGGCAATAGAACCTGTGACTGGAGCTGTAGGACAGATAGTAGTGCTGTCTAAGTTTCGGAGAAGGATATTTATTAGATGGCATTTATTCTGAACAGAGATTCCTTAAGGTCTTTATTATTTAAGAGAAGAAGTAGAATTTCTTAGCAGCTGATTATCTTCTGCTGATTGAGTGACTTGTGTAGATTACAAATAAATATAAGATGTGATCCTTCTCAAGGAACTGATAACATAGATCACGTATGTTTGCAAAGATTTATAAAATGAAAAAATGGAATAAAATGTTTGTAAATGGGGAGGGGAGGAGGGGATGGGGGGAGGGCAGGAACAAGGGGAAAAAATGAGAACCAAGATCTGTCATGTAAAGGTACAAGATCCCAATGAAGAATGTAACTACTCTATACCTAAAATGTACCAATAAACTCGATGAGGAAAAAAAAAAGAATTATAAGAAATAGATTATACTCCAAGAGTGATCCAAGGGATCTGTGGAAGTTCATCCCACTCAGCCATTCAACATTGCAGGAACAAGGGGAAAAAATGAGAACCAAGATCTGTCATGTAAAGGTACAAGATCCCAATGAAGAATGTAACTACTCTATACCTAAAATGTACCAATAAACTCGATGAGGAAAAAAAAAAGAATTATAAGAAATAGATTATACTCCAAGAGTGATCCAAGGGATCTGTGGAAGTTCATCCCACTCAGCCATTCAACATTAAGCATGAGCTTATTTTAGGACCTTTATGTTTGCTGTTTCATCTGTCCTCCATAGGACTGGTCCCGCACCACTGAAGTCTTCTCTCAGATGTCTCTCTGTAGAGAGACCCTCCCTGACCACTTTGTCTGAAATTGCCACCTCCGCTTTACTCTGCTTTGTGTTTTTATAGCATTTTTGACTTCCTGAGACAATCTGGCTTGCTTCACGTATTGTCTGTGTCCTCATTAGACTGCAAACTTTGTGAAATCAGGGACTTTACTCTGCGGTTGTGTTCTTAGAACTTCAGTGACTGGTGTATAGTAGGTCAATATGTGGATGAATGAATAAGTCAAAGTTGCAGTATGCATCTACTGCTTGCCAGGTATTCGGCTGCAGACTTGAGGTCATTTGTCAGTAAGAGCATATTGAGTGCCTATTTCAGTGCTAACCACGTTAAATGCATGATCTCATGTAATACTTTAGGTTTTTATAGTTACTATAGAATTACTATTTAGTAATGAGAAAAGCCAAATTTTGAAAAGCTAACTCGTTTGCTTATTACTACTTAATACTACTTGCTTAAGGCTACGTGTTAATATTGTTAGTAAATAGTAGTCTGCTGACCCTCAGATGCACCCCAGTTTGGCCTCTGAGGATGCTCACTAGAAGTGTGGAGGAGGTGCACACTGCTAGGAGCCAGCAGGACAGATGTGCAGCAGTTCTTTTTATAGTACCAGGTGGCATTTGGAATGCCCTTGAAGTCTTGTTTTTTAGATATCTCAAAATAGGTTTCTTATCTCTTCCTAAAACTTCTAAGAATTCACTGATACTAAGCAAGATGGGTGCTGATTGTCTCATTAAATTGGCTATGATCTTCATAAAGTGACTGTAAGCTTATTGGTATTGTAGTCAAATTCCTTAAAGTACCAGGAAGAATCTATTATTTCTAGTGTTATGATGGTAATTTTGTTTTTAAAATCCCACCAGTGATCACTTATGCCTATTGATTTTATAGCATTCTCCCATCTTGTTCTGCTTACTGGTGTTCTTAAGCAAGATTGACTATTTTGGAAGGGTAATATAAGAGTTAAAGGCAGGATCCCTAGGACTAAGAGTAACAGAGAATAGCTTTGCAGTCCATTTTCCTTCTGAACAGATTCTCTCCCATTGCAGACTGGTTCCTTTACCACTTCTTATCTTAGTTAGCTCCCTTCACCGTCACAGAAGACCTGCCTACTTTTCTACCTTTTGACGTGTTCCAGACAGTGCTTAGAGCATCTTAACTATCCACCATTTCCTGGCCAGATTGCCTATCTGGACCCTTCAGTATGGAAATCTTGGAGCTACTAATATGGGCCCCATCTCCCCAGATTCCAAAGAGTATCCTTCATTCCTTTCCTCTCTTTCTAACCCTGATTGATCACCAAGTCTGGTTGACACAGTCTCATAATTTTCTGAATTCCTCTCCTCATCTGCCTTTGTAGTGGTTGCAGCTCTCAATGTCTTTCACTCATAGGATTTTACCTCTTGATTTTCTGATCTCCCTGCCTATCATTTTCTTCCTCCATTATACCCCGTATGAAACGCCCTGTTGATAGCCAGATACCCAGGGTAAGATTGACTTCACAGACTGCATGGCCCTTTGAAGTTTGGTTGCAACTATTCTCTCCAGCAGTCTACACCACTTACCAGGGCACATGATCATGTTTGTCTCCTCATTCACCAAGGGTGTGTGTTAGTCCTTTCTGCTTTGAATTTCATGAAAGAAGAAATCGTGCCTGTCTAGTCTGCAACCATGTCTCCTGGAGGACAGTATTTTCATAGCAAATATCTATCTATTGAATAAATGGATACATATATTCAGGATCCAGCTCAGATGTAATTATCTTCTGTGTAGCTTACCCTGAATTCTTTAGTCAGTTATCCTTTCTTTCCTTTGGTCCTATATTGACATTCATTTCCCCCGTTTCATATACAGAATTATGTTTGGGGGCTGTTCTTTGCACAAGATAATAAGAGAGCTTTTGATCTGTGCATTCTGAGCCTGGACCACAGTCAGTTCTTAGCAAATGACAGTTGGATGGTTGGGTGGGCAGGTGGGTGGACAAGTAACCATGAAATTCACTTTTCTCATAGAAGAGTTCTCTGAAACTTCTGTTACCACTAAATCTCTGTCTCTTAATACACCTTCCTAGTTCATACCTGTCAAATACCTTCAAATAATCCTTCATGTCAAACCTAAGCAACCCTGTGATTGTACCTGCTTTGAAAAATGTTCTGAGCTGCAGAGTGACATTTATAGTTACTGTGTATTTGTATCAATTTATAATGTTCCATCTGCCCAGGCTCAGGAGAAGTACTCAGGGCTGGCAATATTGAAGGAGTTGAATTTCTTTCTGAGAACTATGAACACTTCTTTCCAACATCTCTACATTGGGTAATCTTAATTCTTTGGGATTATTCGTTAGTAGAGGGCACTTCGGAAAGTCTCAGAATGAAAGGAAAAGTTTAAGCATAGTTGTAGAGCACAAATGGTTGGAACCAGTGTGGCTGATTCATGGTCTCACGGGAGGATCTGAGAAGAGCCGCTCTCGGTCACTGTTTGAGCAGCGCTCATGGAAGCTTGGAAAATAGGGAAATGAGGGGCTGTGTGATGGAGCAGTTAAAACACTCCGTGTAAGACCATGGCTCTGTCATGGATTGGTTGTGTTTTCTTTGACAAGTCAGATAACCTTTTGGTCTCTGGGCTTCCTCATCTCTTCGTACATCCAAGATATTCCTAATAAGATATTGTTGCTGGATTAAGTCAGATAACACTTCAGAATGATTACATATGTGCCAGTATGGAAGTAAATAACCAGTAAATGGTAGCTACTACTGCTTTCATCATTCAGTCCTGTTGTCTGTCATCCATCTTATTAGAAAGGACAGAGCTATAGTGCAAGCCTTTTCCCTCTTTGCAATAATTCCATTTTACTTTGTCTTTAGATTTTTCTACTAAGATCAGTAGAAAACTTTTAGTCTGTTTTCTGCTAAAATGTAGGAGGAAACTCTTGCTAGCTATTGCATTTACTGCGTGATGTTGCCTACTTTGTTTCAGTGAAACTCGTGTGGAGGATGAAGAAGATCTCTATGACTGTGTCTACGGGGAAGATGAAGGCGGAGAAGTCTACGAGGACTTAATGAAAGCAGAGGAAGCACATCAACCTGTAGGGCTTTCACTTATGTTTAAAGTTATCATGAGGATTGTATTAAGAAATTGATTACTTGAAAACCTAGTTAATGTAATTATTTATAGAACCTCTTCTGATATATTCGTTGGTTTGTTTTACCTTCGGTTCCTTATAACTATGCAATTGTGATTCATTTTTTCATTTGGAGCCTGACATTTTACAGATCAAAACAGCCATAGGGAATCTTTAGTCTAATCCTTTCATTTTACTAGTAAGGAAACTATATCTAAGAGGTAAATAGCATGCCTCTAGGCTAAATAATGGCAGAGTGGCAATAGAATATACTTTCAAGAATCACGAAATTATATGGTGATAAAAGTAAATCTCTTACAAAGCCAGTACATTTTTTTCTTTTAAATTTAGCACAAGGTTTTTACCTTAGGAGTGTTGTCTTTTCCTATGGTAGATTATGTCATGAGGAGGCCCTCTTCATTTTATTCCACTGTAAGTCTCCTAGCTTTCTACTGTTTCATAAACTTACTTTCAGTCATAGCCATTATATGGGCCCCCAAAGCTTTGTCTGCCATGAATTGTATCTAGAACATTCAAAAAGAATTATTATTATTATTATTCTCATTGAGTTTATTGGTACATTTTAGGTATACAGTACAGTTACATTCATCATTGGGATCTTGTACCTTTACATGACAGGCCTTGGTTCTCATTTTTTCCCCTTACCCCTGCCCTCTCTTCACCCCCTCCTCCCTTCCCTATTTGCAAACACTTTATTTCCATTTTTTCATTTTCTCATATTTTTTTCTTTTCCCTTATTTCCTTTCCCCTACCTTTCCCACTTCCCCTACACCTTTAGCCCTTCAGAAAGAATTATTTTAAGCAATCCTTTCCTGTGTAATTTGAAATCTAAAAGTCAGCTACTTAGATTTTTATCAATATATTCTTTATCCTGAAGACTTTTCTTCATAGCTAATGGTTTATTACTGTGATGAGTTGGCTCAGTTCTGTCTCCGGTCTGGCCTTTAATAAAGGGCTGGTGGGCTGTCTGGTGCACAGTGGGGAGCAGTAGCTTATATGGGGTAGAAAGAAGTCACCTGCCTGTGTTTGTGAAATATAATGAATGTGTGTTTTAACTCACTGCATGAGCTGCAGGCCACCTCTGGCAGCATTTTCAGAGTGATTTTAGGTGACAGAGTATCATCTGCACCTCCTATAATTGTCAACTGCTTTGGTGTCAGCAGATTCTTCAGTGTCTCCCCAGGGAAGCCTTCACTCAGCTGGCAGCACTGGGCTGTTTATCTGGGATAGGGTTAACAGGAACAGTAATTTAGATATATAGGGCCTTTCTCAAGATCCTAACCGGGGGCACAAGTACTTTACATGCTTCTGCCTGATTTATAACTTCTTGTATTTGGTTCTGTATATCTATTTTATAGAAGACAAAACTGAATCACAGAGAAATTAAATAACTAGTATGTGAACCCATTTTATCTTATCTCAGAATCTTTTATTTTAGTACTATGCTCAACCAATTCCAATCTTATACATTTAGGAAAAGAGCCAAGTAAGATGGTAGTGTTTGAAAAAAATTTTCTGGAGAGTCTCACTTGTCTTTTTAACATTATTGCAGTTAATTCTATAGCACCTGGGAAATATGCTGTATATTAAGGAAATTCTTACACAATTTGTATTTCCCAATTCATTAACATTTTTAATAAAAGAGCTGTTTTAAGTTGAACACAATGTCTATCTCAGATGCTTTTTAATTACCTAACATTTTTCCAGTTAGTCTTTTGGTATATGTTTTTATTAGAATGGAAAGTTAAAGAAAATCAATAATGATTTTGATTTCTCCTATCTACTACCAGACAGATTAATATATGAATTTGATTGAATATTTTTATTTTTATCATTCTGTCTGTAGAAATGTCCAGAAAATGATATACGGAGTTGTTGCCTAGCAGAAATTAAACAGACAGAAGAAAAATATACAGAAACTTTGGAGTCAATAGAAAAAGTAAGTCATTAGTTATTGATGCCAAAATACTGTGTTAAGTAGTTACTATGTTAGATTCCCTGTTTCTGCTGAGCATGTGTGTGTGTGTTTGTGTGTGTGCATTCTAACTTGCAGTAGAACTTTGCATTCAAAGCCAGACACAGAAAGGCAACTGCCCATAGTATCATTCATAGTTTAGATCTAAAAAAATTGAATTCATAACAATAGGGAACAGGATAATGGTTACCAGAGGCTTGGATGATTGGGGTAGTGATGGGGAAATGTCAGATAAAAGATAAATAATCGCAGTGAGACAAGAATATTAAAAAACAACTGCATTCAGAGTAAGGAAATATACCGCAACAGAAAGTAGACAAGTGATTCTCTGGGGCCAAGAGTTGGTGGTGAAATAAGTGTGTGTGGGTAGAGGACAGATGGAGTGGAAAAGGGGAAACGGAGATGACTGCTAAAGGGTAAGGAATTTCTTCTGTGGTAAAAATATTCTGAAACCGATTGTAGTGATGGTTGCACAAGTCTATGAATGTACTAAGGACCATTTGAAGTGGATTACACACTTTAAATGGAGTGAATTGTATTTAACAGGAATTATATCTCGTAAAGGTCTTTTACAAAAAAGAAAAATCAAAGATCTCAAAGAAGGTTTATTCAGTCCACATTATTTATTGATGGTAACCTACTGGCACTATTTTAGGAACTGAGTATATGACAATAAACAAAACAAAACTGTGGATCTCACGGCCCTTCTTGTCTCATGAGAGCGTTTAGTATAAAAGCAGACAAGTGTGCCGCGTGGTGTGCTAAGATCTCTAGAGAAAAATAAGTCAGGGGAAGGGGTAGTGGGCGTGGGGAGTGGCTGGAGGTATTTTGTAGATAGTGGTAATGCAAAGTTTCTATGATAAGTTCATGTTGAAGCTGACAGCTGAACGAATTTAGGGTGCAAGTCAGGTACATATCCCAGTGAAGGTCATTCTGGAAGAAGTATCCTCAGATGGCAGTGTTCAGCTTGTGCCTCAGTGAAGGGCAGTGCATGGGAGGTCAGAGAGCTGGTGGCCACTGCATTTTGAACAGACCTGACAGGATGGTACTTAAATCTTTAGCATTTTTTTTTTCAGCTCTTGTGAGGCAAGTATGGGAACTGGGAGGACGGTTAGGATTTTGTAATAAGATGACCAAAAGTGGTGGTATTGATAGAGATGGTAAGGTGTGGTCAGATTCTAAATAAATTTTAAAAGAGCCAACTGGGTTTGGTGATGGATTAGATAAAAGATTTGAAAAAAAAAGAGAAGAATCAAAGGTGACTGTTAGGTTTGAGGATGAGCAACTGCATGAATGGTGATGATGGTTCTGAAATGGGGAAGGACAGGTTTGAGATCTTGAATTTGCAATACCTTCCAGTGGGATATATTAAGGAAGATGTTAGACACCTGAGTCTGGCACCGTTGGGAAAAATTGAATTGACATAGAGACTGTATTTTTATAGTTCCACAATGGAATTTAAGGCCATGTGACCAAATGAGATCACCCTAGGGAATGAACATTTTTAGGCAAGAGGTTTGAGACCACCCCTGCTGAATCTTACACTTACAGGCTAGGAAAATGACAGGAGAAAGTGTTTTAGGTTTAGGAAAAGAGAATAGATGTGGTAGAATTGTTTAGGGGAATGGGACAGCAAAGTGACTAGGGAAATGTAATGGAACTATGTAGCATTACAGGCCCAATTGAGATGTTTCATATTTAAAATTATACTATCAGTGTAGTCCATTAACTCCTTAGGGTTTGGTTTTCTAGAAAAGCACAGTGGAACATGACAGAGGGTAAGTTTGTGTGTGCAGGGAAGCAATTTCCATGATGATTCGTGGACTGTAACCTGGGTAGGGAGGGCAGGGAGGATGGGAGGAAGGTGGGAGGGTCAGTGGCTGAAGAATTCCCTGAAGGAGTGAGCTGTACTGGAGGAGTCGTGGTCTGAGGGCGGTAGTTGGACAGCGCATCTGTGACGCATATGCAGTTGTTGATAACATCCTGAAGCATTATTGTGTGATTTGGGAGTGGAGCTGGGCGAGAGCACAAGATTATTGGTGGTCAAGGAAACGAAAGGCCAGAGTGTTGGAAGGATCATCTGCACAGATACTGAGATGGCCAAGAATGAAAGTGGTATGGTAGGCCCCAGCCAAAAACGTTCAAGGAATGAAGGAAAATGGTGTGTAAATTCCTCTCAAGGATCTGTGATCTTCATGAAGCATTTTCATAGAAGTCCTCAAGTCTGTTTCTAAATGTTGTCCTTGGTTATCAACTTGGCCAGTAGTGTTCTTTCTGACTTTCAGAAGGAAAGTATAAACCTTTTATTTTATATTTTAAATGTTTGAGCTTATATTCATGTCTTTGTATCTCTGTCAAGAATAAAATCTCTATCACAGTGAAAATAGTTTCTCCTTCTTTTGAATTTATGTCGATAAGCAGTTGACTTTCGACACTTGTTGTTTGTTGATGAAAAAACATAATACCTATTAGGGAAAGTTATGCTTAATTATCACTTCCCTCTTCTCTCCTGACAGTATTTCATGGGACCACTAAAACGATTTTTGACACCAGTAGAATTTGACTCAGTATTCATCAACATTCCTGTAAGTAAAAATATGGTAATTAAAATTTGTGTGGCACAGCCATAAAATCCTCACTTTCTTCATGGGTTCCAGATGAATTTTGACCCTGTTTTTGATTCTCAAGTTGTATTATTACTTTCTTGAAAAACTGTATGTTATATCTTCAGCCAAAAGCCAAAAGCATGTAGAACATAAATGGGTAAGAGTCATGTGTTGTGTTTCACTCTTATCATGAAGAGCTAGACTCAATTCAGTAAGAAATCCTGGCTGCTACTTTGGGTTTCTCTTCTGGGGATCCCTCCCTGCTCTGTTCTTCTTTGGGCCCCAAGACTTGAGTTCTCTCCACTCCTCCTCTTCTACCTTTTGGTGCTTTCTGCTTGCAGTTGTGTCACCCTTAATTCTCATTTCCAAAATTTTACTTCCCTATAATTTATTAGACTATTTTAATAGTAAAATGCGATGAAGGGTTTTCTTCACGTTTATGTAAATATTTTGAGTTTCAGGTCACCTGACCATCTTAGAATCCTCAAAGTATATTTGCTCAGAAATGTGCAGTCAAGCTAACTGCTGTCTCAGATAGGTACTGCTAGGCAAGAGTCAAGTTCTGAGACCTTTCAATTTCGTTTACACACACAGGCATATACACATGCACACACACACACACACACACACACACACACACACACACTTTTATCTACAGGCTTTCTTGTATCTCCCGAGAAAGTCCATTATATTTTGATTCTGTCTTGTTCTGTGTTGCTGAGCACCCGATGATAAGCTATGACATGTTGTTTTTGTTCATATTTTCGTATTGATTGCTCGTATGAAGACATGCTCATTGATTTATAACATAAGTGCATGAAATACAATATTAGATGAAAGTTTAGCATAAAACAAAATGCCCCATCTGGGAAATAGAGGTCTTAAACTGCTAAGTATGATCACTATAACTTACAACCCACTTGATAGTCTGTATTTTTATGGCTTTACCATGCTCCTCAACAAAATGACAGGACCAATGAATATATTGATGTTCATTTTCCACCTTATGAAGGAAAAAGTATACTCTGGTGTCACTGCATACTCCGCCACATAGGAAGAGGTAATGGGGACTAGGACCTTGTTTCAAATTTCCTCACTTCTTGTTGCTGAAATGTATTTATTGACTGCTGAAAACAATTTGCTTATGAGGACAAATGTGAAATTCTGACTTTGAGTTGGTTAGTAAACTGTCTAGTACAATTTATTTGCTTCTTATTTATGCCATTAATTGTCTGGTTTCAAGTAATTTAGTCTAATTATTGTTAGCTTAGCACCAGGACACCACTAACTGACCAAAGTACAGATCTACATTTCTACGTCCCAAGGACACGAATCATTATTTTTTTCTGTCTTTGAAACATTAAGCACTTAAATAGTTTTATTTAAAAATTTACAATGATTAAAGTGAGAAAGCTGTACATACTTTTAAACAAAGAATAAATTATCCTTTAATAACTAGTGAGATAATTTTTCTCCCCATTGACATTTTTAGGCCGATCTGAAATTGCTATTTCCCATGCACATGACTTGCTTTCTTTCACTTCCTAACTCCTTTCCCCTTTGCTTTCCCCTCCTTTACCTTCTGTTTCTTTTCTCTGTTTCTTCCCTTTCCTCTCCTCCTCTTCAGCTCCTTCCTCCTCCTGGATTCTTCCCCTTCCCCTCTCTTCTTTAATGGTAGCAAGTTAATATGGTTATGAGTGACAGGTCTGACAGTACTGGCGTTCTGGGTTTGGGGTATACATTTTGGTTCTGATTTCTCCCTTTTTTCACATTGTTTTCTTTTCTAAGGAACTTGTAAAAGTTCATCGGAACTTAATGCAAGAGATTCATGATTCCATTGTAAATAAACATGACCAGAACTTGTATCAAGTTTTTATTAACTACAAGGAAAGGTAACTTTTGAATTTGAAATTCTGTGTGTATTAGCTTGGAATTGTATGAAAATTAGTAATAAAATAAATAGCTCCTGCTACTGTCTATTGCAATATCACCTGGGTGTTAGAACATAGGACAGTTAATCTCAGGGTGGTAGTTTGAGCTTTCTATGTGATTTAAAAAGAAAAGGACTCAGTGTAGTACCTAGACTTCTGCAAATCAAAAGGCTGAGATTCAAAGGTCTGTCACTATTGAGTGGTGGCTTGTCATTTTAACTCTCTGAGTCTCCTGTTCCTCATTTGTAAGTATTGATATAGATTAATGCTTCGTCCAGCTCTGATAGCTTATTATTCTCCAGTGTGGTGCATTAGATTCAGAGTCAAAGTCAGTTGCCCTCACTAATTTACACACCATCTCCTGAGTGAATCATATGAATTTGAATTTGGAGAATCAAGAAATTTTGCTTAAAATACAACATTCTCTCAATGTAAAATCCTAGTTCTAAGATGTGGCTAATGAATTGCTTTTTGTTAACTCTTAGGTAAATATTAACAATTTAATTAGTTCTCTCCAGCAGACAGTTAAAAGAAACAATAAAACAACCTCTTTGCAAAATATCTGCATTACAGGGATATTGTTCCTTGAGCGGGCTCAGAGTCTGTACAATATGAGTTATATTCCAAGTTGCACAGTTTGGGCCTCTCATTCCCAATTTTCAGATGATATATGCTTCTTTATTAAAAAGGGGTAAGGAGTTGGTGGTTTATTAATGAGTAGAGTCATAGTGATTGCAATAAAATTGTAGTAGAAAATAAAGCTGCTGAGTAAATGGTAAAAAGTTGATCTATATCGAGTTAAGAATTTTTTGAGATACATGTTTATCTATGAAATAGCATTAACAGTTGTCCAGCCAGATTGTAACATCTACCTGCTATAAAAATGTACATCGAGTTAATCCTAATCAAATTTGGATCTGAAAATGTGGCTTTTTATACTTAGATATATTTGTGGCCCTCATTTGGTAATGGTGTGTGTGTTATGTTCAGAAAGAATTTGTGAGGACTTGGGATTTACCTCAGTGGCACTATACCTGCCTCGCAAGTGCAAGGTCCTGAGTTCAATCCCTGGTATCCCCCCTCCCACAAATACAACATTGCTGCTTTGATTACCTCTAATTTTGGTTTAAAGGAGGTGATAAGTCTGTCCTCTTCTCCTCCTCTGCTTCTTGCTTTTGTTCTTACAGATTTCTTCCTCTCTTTTTCATTTCAGATTGGTTATATATGGGCAGTACTGCAGTGGAGTGGAGTCGGCCATCTCTAACTTAGACTATATTTCTAAGACAAAAGAAGATGTGAAACTAAAATTAGAGGTGATTGTTTACTTTTATTCCTGATACATGTAAAATAATATTTTTCATTGAGTTTATTGTTACAGTTAAGTTTATTGGTGTACTTAACAGTACAGTTACATTCATCATTGGGATCTTGTACCTTTACATGATGTTTCTTGGTTCTTGTTTTTTCTCCATACCCCTGCCCTCCCTTCACCTCCTCTTCTCTTAACTATTTACAAAGACTTTGTTTCCATTTTTTCCTTCTCCTTTTTTCTTTTCCCTTCTTTCTTTTCCCCTATCCTTCCCATTTCTCCTACTCCTTTAGTCCTTTTCTTCCTATTTCACATTATCAGTTTTACAATTTGAACCTTATTTGCACTTTTAGTTTTTCACACTAGAGAAACTATTCAGTATTTACACGTGTGTCCTATTTATTTCACTTAAGAGCATGGCCTCAATATCCATCCATTGTCTTATAAATGACTCTAGTTTCTCATTCTTTATGGCTGAGTAGTACTCCATTTTATAGAAAAACTACATCTTCTTTATCCAGTCTCCAGTTGATGGGGAATTGGGCTATTTCCAAGATTTAGCTATTACAAACCATTCTGCTATAAACATGGGTGTGCATATATCATTGTGGTATGATTCTTTTAATTCTTTTGGAAAGATACCCAGCAGAGGGATGGCTGGGTCAAATGAAACCTTGAATTCTAGTGTTTTGAGGTATCTCCATATTGATTTCCACAGTGGTTGCACCACTCTGCATTCTCACCAACAATGGAGAAGTATTTCTTTCTTCCCTTAACCCTGCCAGCATTTCTTATTCATCGATTTCTTCATAGCAGCCGTTCTTTCTGAGATGAGGTGCAATCTCAGTGTTGTTTTCATTTACACCTCTAGAATATTCAGTGATATTGAACATTTTTTCATATTTGTTTTTGCTGCTTTTCTTTCTTTGAGAAATGTCTGTTCATTTCAGATGCCCATTTTTGAATCAGGTCTTTATATTTGGGGGTGTGTGATTTGTTTGAGTTCTTTATATATTCTAGATAATAGACCTTTATCTGAGGAAAAGCTGGTAAATTTTTTTTCCACATTGTAGGTTGTCTTCACTCTGTTGGTGGTTTCTCTTGCAGTGCAGAAGCTTTTTAATAAAATGAGATCCCAGTTGTTGATTCTTTCTGCTAGTTCCTGTGCTACTGAGGATTTGTTCATAAAGTCTTTTCCTATGCCATTGTCTTTGAGAGTTCTACCTAATTTATCTTCCAGCAAGTTTAGTGTTTCTGTTTTAATATTTAGATCTTTATTCCACTTGGATTTTAGTTTAGTGCCTGGTGAAAGATAAGGGTCCAGTTTTAATCTTTGGCAGGTTGAAATCCAGTTTTTCCAACACAATTTATTGAAGAGGCTATCTTTCCTCCAGTGAGGATGGTTGGCTCCTTTGTTAAAGATGAGGTAGCAGAGTACATCCGGAGTTGTTTCTGTATCTTCCAATCTATTCCACTGATCCTCAGGTCTTTTTCTTTGCCAGTACCAGGCTGTTTTTATCACAATGGCTTTGTAGAATAGTTTCAAGTTGGGGATTGTGATATCTCCTGTCATATCTCTGTTGCCTAGAATTGCTTTTGCTATTCTAGGTCTCTTCTTGTTCCAAATGAATTTTTGGATTGTTTTCTCTAGTTCTGTGAAATATACTGTTGGAATTTAATTGGCATTGCATTGAATCTGTATAGCAGTTTTGGAAGTATGGCCATTTTCGCTATGTTGATTCTTCCTACCCAGGTACAAGGGATGCCTTTCCATTTTTTTATATTCTGTAAAATAAATTTTAAAAGCTATATAGTCCTCTTCCTGATTAATGCAACAGTACACTTGTCTCTGTATTCTAAATATAGTTTTGTTATTTTTGTATTTTAATAGATGTATAAAATAATATGTAGTAATAGTAGCAGAATTTGACTTTTGTAACCTTGCAATTTATATATAATGTCTCCTTACAAGACTTTATAAGAGATAATACAGTCAAATTTCTCATCTTATTAATGAGAAAGCTGAGGTGCAGAGATTTTGAGTAATTACACAGTGCTACCTGAAGCTGCAGGATGGGTAAGAGGCTGTGTGAGTGGATTTAAAATGTTTATGAAAAATAAAAGACGTTTAGGGATAGATATATAAAAATATAAAGTGCTTAGGGGCAGATGTATTCAAAAGGCATGGATGTTGGCCATAAGAAGGAAGAAAGGACAAACACGAGAATAATAAGCCTGAGAGTCTGTGATCACCCCATGAATAAGATGGTGGGGTCACTTTAGAGTGGGGAGATGGCTGTGGGAGATTTATATGAAAGGTGGTGTTTGAATTGGGTCCCGGAAGAACAAGGTGTGCTTTGGTGGATGAGATCGCACAAGGGCATTCTGGGGGAATTGGGATGTCCTGACCAGACCGGTGGGGATGGTTTGAGAGAGAGCAAGTTGATCATTGTAAACAGAGCACCCAGTCACAGTATAAAACAAGGCTGAAGATGTGTTGTCATAGATTTTTTTACATCATATATGTTTTAAATTAATTTTATTGGTACATTTAATGTATACAGTATAATGACATTCATTGTTGGAAATTTGTACCTTTACATAATCAATATGGGTTATTTTTTCCCCATTCCCTGCTCTCCTTTTAACCCACCATATGTTTTTCTATAAAAGAGTTTATGCTTTCAAAGAACATTTAAAAAACGAATTTTATATAAATTACCACCTTAAGTTTATTATTACTATTTTGGATTTTCTTAAATTTTAGGGAGATAAATGAGGTCAGCTCTTAAATGACTCTGTATGACTTTTTTGCCTTTTTTAATATCCCCTTTCTTGCTTTTTGTTTAGTTTATTAGTGAAGTTAGTTGATGAACAGGGGAAGAAGAGATAGATAATTTTCAAATCAGGATCTTTTTATTATTTTGATATATCTGACATGGTATTGAAACTCCCATATCCTACAGAGGGACTCTATAGCTTAGGAAGTTTGAATATTAGCGCATGACCAAGTGACTGTACTAAATCTACATCGTGAATCTTTTTGCCTTACATTTTACTACCTCTTGATGATGTTAACCTTAAGGCTGGAGAAAGGTTAGTCACCAGTAAATGACTCCTCTCAATATTGTTAGCAAAAAAGGATTCCTGCTTCTCTTTAGAGAACAGAGACTTATTAAATGCCTTGATTCAAATTAAGATATAATAACATTTTGCAATTCATAGAACTAGTTCCTAGTAGAACAACTACTATAGTAGTTCTTCTACAATAAAGCTATACAATGGGGTTCAAGATAGGTGACAGCAACTTGTTGATCAAACCAAAATTATCCTTCATTCTTAACCTTATTGAATGATTATTCTTCCTTCTGTCAGTATCATTGTCAAAGTTCTGCCCAGGGACCACACTCTGGGACTCTAGGCACAGTTTGTGTCATCATTATCAGTCTTAGGGGAAGAAGAGGCCTCAGGCTAAGATTGAAAAACTCAGAGTCAGGTGCTGATGAAGACCTTTCCTCAGTTTAAAGTCCCCACTTTTGCCCATGGGCCTGGCTTGAAAGTACTGTATTAGTCAGAACTGTAGCATTTCACCATATACTCTGTGGGAGCTATCTGCTTTAAGCCCCAGTTGTGGAGGGAAAGCTGCCTCTTTCTGGCCTTTTGTTTTGTGGTTATTTTTGTTCCTATTGATTTTTTTTTCTTTACTTGGAGGGAAGATAGCATGGGGTGAGGTTGGTGGGAGAGTTATAGTTTCCTTATCTTGCCTTGTGGGCTTGAGCCCACCTCATTTTATTTTCTTTTAAATTATAATTGAGTTTAGGTAGGTGAATGAATGGATGTTTCAGAAGAATTATTTCTACCCTTTATTTATTTTCAGTGCCAATAAGGATTTTACACTTCACACTCCATCCCCCAGTTGTAGCTCACACTAGTGATGTTAGTTTCTTTACTTCCTGAATTAGATCTTAGAAAAGGAACTGTTTTCTTTCAAACTAACTTCTATAACATAGTTATTTTAAAGTGAATGACTTTCTACTCCTGTGTTGGGATGTAATACTACAAGAAGTGTAAGCTACAACTTTTATTCCAAGAAGCTTAAAAATGCAATGGAGGAGATAAGACCCACTTATTACGATAATGACAGTTTAACTTCCTATTTGAGACCCATGATTGAGAACTCTCTGCAGTCTATAGAACCAAGAAATCATTTGAAAAAGGTATCCGTCCAGTGAACTGCAGTAATTGATAAGACACAAGGTAATGTGTCAGAATGGTTCTTTAGTTCATTTTGCCTGAGATCTACAGTCAAATGTGGTCAGTAAGTCATTATGTTCATTAGACTTAATGGTGTTTGCTTTGTAGTTCCTGATAATATATCCTACCAGGTGCCAGAAAAGCTAAGTATGAGCAAAGGAAAAATAAATTCATGAAAAAAGGAGTATTTTCTTAAGCACACCTCTTTCCATGAACTGGAAAAGTCTTTGGTCTGGGATATGCAATTGTGTAAGGACTTTTGACTTAAGAAGTTGCTCACCAATAATTTTTTAGTGACACTTTATTGTCTGATAACACCAAATATATATGGGAAGTGGTAAAAATCAGAAAAGTGACTTGTCTGAGCTGATACAGCTAAGAGTTGACAAATGTTGGCTTTAAAACTCATGGTTTGGGCCTGGAAATTAGCTCAGTGGTGCCACGCCTGCCTCCAAAGCTTGAAGTCCTGAGTTTGATCCCTGGTACCAGGGAAAAAAACAAACAAGCAAGCAAAAATCCCTCATGCCTTTACACATCCAAGTACTTTTCTCAAAGTCACAGTTACTTGTCAAAAGAGTGAAGAAGTCCATACTATTTTAAAGTAAATTTTAACGAAGAACATGATGTTTAAAATCTGAGGGCTTTAAAAACATGAATACAGTAGTAGGCTTATAGTTTAGCAAGTTTTCACACTCAACTATCCTACTTTATTCAGTTCAGTAAATATTTATTAAGCACTAGATTCTTGGAGACTTCAGGAGCATGTTAAAGACTTAAAAAGATATTCTGGGGAAGATATTATGTATAACCATAACTAAATAACCCCAAAAGCATACAGATAGAGAGGAATGAGTAGGAGGAAGCGGGGTGGACAGAGAAAGACAGAGGAGCACAAGAATGTAGTTTCAATTGAGATTTATTTCTGAAGGCCTGGAAGTATAGTTCTGAGAGGATGGTGAGTTTTGCTAGATACAAGAAAAAAACACAAGGCATTTAGATAGAACTGAATAACCCACAGTGTGGATTCATGGTGAGTGTGCTGAGGAAGGGCTTATCGTTGGTATCTTGTCTGTAAGCCCACTTGGGGGAGGGCTAGGTGGAAGGTAGACTTGTGAGAGTCAGCTGAGCATAGCCACGATTTTTCATGGGAGAAAGTAATTTTCATTCGTAAAATAGTTCTGTTTGATTTGAAATACTACAAGATTTTTAACATTAAAAACACTGAGAAAGAAAGACAGTATTAAGGAAAAGAGAAAAATATTTATTGAAAATGGTTCTGCTTGTGGACTTGGCATCTTTTAACGTTTATGACTTTTCTTGAGAAAACTAACAAAACATTTTTAAAAACGTGTCATTAGGAATGTTCCAAAAGAGCAAATAATGGGAAATTTACACTTCGAGATTTGCTTGTGGTTCCTATGCAACGTGTTTTGAAATATCACCTTCTTCTCCAGGTATGTAACTTAAAGCTGTTTGTTTACTATTCATTTACTTGTTCAACAATGTACTTGTGAAGTATCAACTGTGTTGTCCATACTCTTATGTTTTATGTGCTATCATTGTATAATTTTGAATTTTCATATGGCTAAGTGGAAATGTCCAAAATAGCTATACATTTTTTCTTCCTCTTAGCAAAGATAATTCTCTATTTGCCACAGAGTCATATTTTGGGTCTCCCAAATGAGACTGGCTAAAGAATAAAAATGAAAAAATAAGGCAAAACGAAAATATTCCTTCAGGTTTTTGTGGTGAATGGTAATCATTTATTAGTGTTTCATTGTGCCCAAATTTTGGCAGATTAGTCATGTTAGACCCTTTGCCTTATAACAGAAAGCAAAAGGATTGTGTCACATTCTGTATTGCTTTCTACTGTGCTAAGTTGTAATAAGACTACATTTATTTTTAAGCGATTCTTGTTATATATAACCCACAAAACTTATGGTTTTCACAGTTAGTCCTCTAATGAGGGTGGAGACTCTTATAAATTTAATTTGATAGCTATACCAGCAGACTCATTAGTTCTGCTCTGAAGCAATGTCTTACTGTATTAGTCTGTCAACAGTGCTGATGCTTGTGAAATGTCATTTAAAAAAGATCTACTACCTGTATGTGAAATATAATTTTGAGTCTGCTGTGCTTTGTACATCTTGTATATTAAATTTCTTGAACTGTAGCCACAAAATTATTAGTAATCTCTATTTTTGTTCTACTGAGAAATCAGAAAATTTAAACCCTGATTATTCCTTAAAAATGCATTAAAACCTTTATGAGACCTAAACTCAAAGAAACTTAATCAAATTGGATTTTATGAAAAAATAATAGGGAAGACTCAGGCAATGTTTCCAAGGCATTATGGAACTAAAAACATGCTCAAAATATGATAAAAAATTTATTGTGTAACTTAAGTGTAGTCAAATATTGATTGAAGAATTTAGAAGGTGCAATTTTAAAGGAATATCTGTTTTGATCTGTATAGGTTTTTACACAGACTTATAAAACTATAAAAATACATCTATGCTTTTTAAAAACTCATTGAACTTTCCCCTCTAATTTTTCTTGGTTTCTTTTATATTTTAAGTTTTAAGATTATATTTAGTTCCTTTATGTGTTTTTAAAATATGAACAGTTTTATTTTGGGTACTACCTACAGATAGAATTCCAGAAATATCAAAATAATGTAGAATGAAACTTATTTGTCTAGTGTCTAGACTTTTTTTAATCTGGTTATACATTTTGCACATTTTCTATATACTACTACACTTTCATGGGGGAAATCACTTTTAAAATGCTTAATGAAATCACAAGTTTATAAAAATTAAAATATTTTTGTAGTGATGTGTTAGAAACTTTTTTGCCGGGTGGGGGGGATTTGAGACAGGGTCTCACTATGTAGTTGAGACTGACCTCGAACTCATAGTGATCCTCCTGCCTCAACCTCCTGAGTGCTGGGATTACAGGCATGTGCCACCATGCCTGGCCAATGTGTTAGAAACTTTAAGAATAATTTACTATTTTTATTTAATAAAGTAAGAGTAAGAATAGAAATTAAAGAACATACTTTTGACAGATTTTTACACTTAGGAGGAGGTTCTTGATCTGTTGGTCTTACTTAAAACAGAAAACATTACTGGCATTGAATTCATTAGAGATTTTTTTGGGGATGGGTTCCCCTGTGCCAAACACAGTACTAGACACTCACAATATGACAACTCTTACACTGATTAATCTCACCATTTAGGAGGCAACAATGAAATGCAATTTTTAAAATGTAACACAACGTGATAGGTACATAGAAGAGACAGAAGTGATACAAACGAAAGTCTCTTTAATTACCCCTACAGAGGCTGGGGACCCTGTAGAGTCCTCAACTTCCCAGAGGAGTAATTCTTGATTTGATCTTTGAAAGAAGAATGAGAGTTTGATTGTAGATCAGAAAAGAGAGAAGAAAGAAAATGAGACTTTTCGTGAGAGTTAGCTATCAACACATGTTTTGTGAGTATAATTTAGTATGAATGGAATATAGGTTGTTTCAGTAGATTGGAAAAAGAGAAGTTGAGAGAGGTGTCCAGAACTCAGATCAGGGGCAGCCAGAGCATTCCACAAGTCTGAATAGGGCAGAGATAGCTCCAGTTTGACTCTGATGCCGGTAGAGTGAATAGAAGTCCAGTCAGAAGAGTTTTATAATAACCTGTATGAAAATGAGAAAGGAGCTGAACTTGGGAAGATGATTTCCAGAGGCCAAGATAGAAGTTGGTATTCGCAGTACACAGTGAGGGAGTGTGGAGTTTGGGATACATTTCAGGTTTCAGCTGAAGTGATTCTACTGACAGTAGTGCCATTATCCAATCAAACATAAATGGGAATAAGAATGAATATGTATTAAGTCATGGGCATGTTGAATTTGAAGATCCTAGAAATACCGAAGTAGAACTATTTAGTTCTACCTAAGTCAGGGACTTAGGCACAAGTTCTGGTGAACACATACCTTGGAGACTGATTGCCTCTTGGTGACAATTGATATCATGACCTTTGTTGCAGTAGGATTTGTGAAGTATATAATCTAAGAATGGGAGAGCACAGGGTGAAAATCTAGGGAATTATAACTTTCTGTGGTGCAGATAAACTATGAAGGACTAAAGAACAGGCAGAAGTTTAGGAATTGTAAAGAAACAATAACTGCAGTGACAGTAAAGCATCCTGATGTCCCTATAATAAAGGAGATGTGGTCATCAGAATCAAAAGCTATAGAGAATTCCTGTGTGATAGTGTGTGAAAGGGATCAGTTCAATTAGCAGTTAGGAGATTTTTCATAATAGTTGGGACACAGCTTTAAGGTAAAGGTGGAGCATTGAATTAAGATTTGTCATTGAATGGAAAATACTTCCAAGTAGGTCGTATGCGCTTTTGCTCTCTGGTTTGTCTTCTTGCAGTTTGATGTTTTTGATGAAAATAAAACCTAGTTTTGTTAAATTTATCCTGTTGAGAGTGCGATAATAAGGGTCATTCATTTGTTCATAAATTCATTCACACGTTTCATGCATTTGGTGATATTGGGAATTGAATCCAGGGCCTTCACATCCTCAGCCCTCTTCCCTGTTACTTTTTATTTTTTATTCTGAGAGCGGTTCTAGCTAAGTTGCCCAGACTGGGCTTGAACTTTCCTCCTGTCCCAGCTTCCCAAAATGGAATGGCTTGTGCTATCACATCTGTCTAAAACATGTTTTATGTCTTATGTGTTAGTTTTGATTTGATGAAAGTAGTACAGTACTAACCTTTTTCACACAGGAACTGGTTAAGCATACTACTGACCCTGCTGAAAAGGCGAATCTGAAACTGGCTCTTGATGCAATGAAGGTAAGGGAAATGGATCAGTTTTTTTGTTGTATTATTTTATTCTTGCCTACAAACAATAGAATTACAATTGTTAATATGTTTATACAGCATGCTAATATATTAAACATTTATTTTTGATGGAGAGAGTAGTATAACTTCTACTGACATAGATATTCTTGCACGGATTTAATTGTAGGACAAAAGCACATAAAACAAAGAGGTACATTAAAATAACTTTTGTACAAGTTTTCCAGCTTTTATAACTACCAGGAGTGATGGGATAACTGCTTTTATTTCACATTCTTTTGAAAGCTACTGATATAAAACCAACCACTGGTTTGTGTAAGCGTTAGGTCAGCTGTTGGCTTCAGAAATACCTGCGTGGCTCATTTTCCTCAGATGAGCTTGTCTACCTGGTTTACTCATGTGGGTGCTGTCTGTACATCATGCGAGTCAGTTTCAGCTTGGATTTATATTTTCAGTGAAATATGTAAATCAATAAACAGGAAGATAAAAGACATTGTGAACATACTGTAAAATATGTAAAATGCCAATTTCCACATAAGGTTGAATCAACACAACTTTGAAAAAAATATTTGCCTATAATTTAAAACAAAAAGAAATATTTGTTCTTAAAAACAAAGTAACAATGTGACTTTACTTAGAGAAATATTGAATTACCTCCTCAGTGTCAGTGTTAATTTTCCAATTAAGCTGATTTTATCATCACTACCAGAACACATCACACAATTATTTATTATTTCAACAATGATCATACGGGATTTCTTACCTGTAATGAAGTTGTTTTTGATACATCCTGTGAAAAGTCAGGCTTCTGTTTAGAACAGAGTTAGGAACTGTTTTTGTAGAGTTGTGTTTCTGCTTTTGTAGATGAATTAAGAAAGTAGAAAAAGAGCTCTGAAATCAGGAAAATCTGGAGCAGATGTAATAAAAATAGCTAGTTTACAGTATGGGAACATTAGATAATGTTTCCTCAGATATAAGAAAAGCCATTTTAAAATAGGTGGAGGCACATGGAGAAACATGGCCAGCAGTTTTGCACTTTAATTCAGTTTTTGTTTTATTTAGTTCTTCACCCTCCCCTTCATTTCTCCTTTATTTATTCTTTAAAGTTGAACCAGCCCCCTTGACCGAAAGTTCTCAGAAACTAATAAGACATTAGCTGGTTGCAGAAACTAGTCTTCCTTAGGTTCATTGTATAAAATTTAGTTACCTTCTGTCTCCCTGGTAACCCTTCATTATTGCCTGTAGTCCAACCTGTATATAGAAATACAATTCTTTCAAGGTCAGCTGTGAATGTACTTGAAATTCTCATTCTGCTGACCTAGTTTCTTTGTTGTTTCTCTGCACAACAGCTTATTTTGTTTTTGTTTCTTAAGGCAGCAACGTACTTACTCTGCTCAGGGGTGTGGCAAATGGCAACTCTTTAGTCTTCCCAGCTGGGACATTTTAAAATTGTTTTTGAGATGCAGCTTTGATTGATTGGGGTATTCATGTTATTGTCGTTGAAAAGTTAAAGTAGTTACTTTCACTACTAATGGAACTAATGATGTGTTTCCTTTCAAAGTGGTTTCCATCTCTAATCTTAGTATGCCTTCTTTTTGTACCCTTCTCTTTGTCCTTCAGGATTTGGCACAATATGTGAACGAAGTGAAAAGAGATAATGAGACCCTTCGTGAAATTAAACAGTTTCAGCTATCTATAGAGAATTTGGTATGTAATTATCCTTCCTTCCAGCTCCCCTCACCCCCATATGGGGGACATTCTAAGAGCTGTTGCTGAAGTAAAGATAAGTTTACCTTTGAGTTTCTGTTGTTCGTTTGATTTTTTCCCCTAATTCTTCTGCTGGTCAGTGTTTATAGGGATACCTGATGGCACTTGTGCCTTGTCATTGTCCGGAGACTTTTGCCATCATTTATGTCTGTCTGTCATTCTCTACTTCTTCCGTAGTCTGAATTTCAGACATTGGAGTCCACTTTCGTCTTTTCTTTCCCTTAACTCTACACATACTCAGGGCTGATAACCTGATCACTAAGTTGGTTTACATATATTTATTGGGTACTTCCATGTGCCAGAGATGTTGCTTGGGGCAAGCCTGTGCCTGTGAAGAAGGTGGTCTCCTGATTAGAGAAACAGGCACAGGAGAGTTTTAAAATGTCAGATTGAAGTTAGAGCTGTGCATTTGGGAGCTATAACAGAAGACATTAGGGAAGTCCTCATTTAGATAGGATGGTTAGAAAAAGTCCTTTGGGTCGTTGGTCATTTGAATCGGAACCTAAGAGATAAGAGGTCACGTGAAGATCTGGGGGTGCAGAGACCGAGCTAGAAGTCTTAGCAGGTGACATGGCCAGAGTAGGCAAGAGCCATCCACGTGTGTTGGAAAGCTGAAAGGGAAGGGTGGCTGGAGGCCTCTGCAGTGTAGGGGTGGGCAGGGGCTAGGCAGCGCAGACCTGTGGGCCATGCGGTGATGGGGTTTACGGCGATTGAGTGAGAAGTGAGCTCACTGTCCCACCAGGGAGGATCAACATACGTTACAAGACCTTTACAGCAGGCATCCTATCAGCAAGCTCTTGAAGTGAGTTCCAGAGAGAATGGAGGCCTGAATTAACCCTCCCACAGCTACTACAGAGAATGGATCTAAAATACTTTCAGTGGTAGAGTAATTTCGTTGCTTCTTTCTCTGAAGCACCCTCAGCCTCCCTTTCATGTTGATGTACAGCTACTTCTCCATTTCAGGAAACTATCATGTGCCTCCTTTCCAACCCCAGCAGCCTCTAATCTTCTGTTCACATAATTGCAGTTTTAAAATGCAGATTTCTCAATTTACTCTTTCCTCAACTTGTCAAGAGTTTCTGTTGCTCTCATTGTTCAGTCAACTTTCCTTATACATATTTAAGACCCTTAGTTACCTGTACTGAAACTATTTTCCTGAACTCATCCAGAAAATAGCTACCCATCATGTTTTATATCAGTTGTATTCTAAATTGTGGATATTTGGCTGTATTTATTACAGTCCCCGCTTTGCCATGCATTTGTGTAGTTCTGCCTCTGATCATAATCTTCTCAGAGCCTAGCAGTGGTGAACCTTTCAGATCTTTCAGTGACACAAACAGCACACCACATGTGCCATAGGTTCGCCTAGAGTCTCTTTGCTATTCTTCCCTATAAAATTCCTTCAACGTTCAACCGAAAAATCTCTCATTATCCCCTTCTCTTTGGAATTCCATGGCATATCCCCTGGACAGCTGCATAGCATTAAAAAATGGTAGTAGAATATACACACATTAATTAAATGGACCATTTTAACTATTTAAGTGCACAGTTTTGTAGCACTGAATACATCGACAGTATCACAAAACCACCGCTATCATCCGTCTCCAGAACTCTCTTCATTTTGCAGAACAGAAAGCCTGCACTCATACTCAGCCTTCCCACTTTCTTCTCCCTTCAGCCCTTGGCGACCATCATGCTATTCAGTCTGTGTGTATTTGGCCGCCTCAGCTACCTTATATAAAGGGAACCTTTCAATATTTGTCCTTTTGTGATTGATTTTATTTAGCTCAGTATGTTTAGGGTTTATCTATGTTGTCGCATATGACAGAAGTTTCCTTTTTCTTTCTAAAATTGTGTCTTTTTAAGACTGAATAATACATCATGGTGTGTATAGTACCCCACCTTTGCTTATATTTACACTTTTGTTTATGCAGCGATCCATGAACATCATTTGGGTTGCTTCCCTCTTTCAGCGATCATGCGAAAGATGCATAGGAATGTCAGTATCTGTTGGAGTGCCTGCTCTCACTTCTTTTGGTATATACCTACAAGCAGACTTTCTTGATTATACAGCAATTTTATGTTTACATTTTTGAGGAATTTCATACCACTTTCCATAGCAGCTGCATCATTTTATGTTCCTATTACAAATTCATGAGGGTCCCATTTTCTGTATATTTTTGCCAACACTTGTTCATTTATAGTTAATATATAGTATATATTTTTTATAAATAGCCCAATGAGTGTGAAGTAGTGTGTCTTTGTAGTTTTAATTGAATTTTCCTAGGGATTGATAATATTAACATTTTTAATGTGTTTTTGGTTATTTGTATATCTTTGGAGATGTCTGTTCAATCCCTTTGGCCAGTTTTGAATCAGGTTGTTTGTTTTCTTGAATCTGTAGTTCTTTACATATACCCTGCCTGCCGATTTCTTACCAGAAAAATGGTTTCCAAATACAGTGGACCCTTGACTTATGAACTCAGTTTGTTCCTGAGGGCTTGTTGTAACTCAGATTGGTCAGTTGCCTTCGAAGTCTCTCTCTCCTACATAATTTTAGGCCATTTTCTTCCAGGAAGATCTCAGTGTCTTTAGAGAGACATTGGCCTAGGATTTCTCAGTTAACCCCACACAGGAAAGGATGTTGTAATGTTCCTTTCAGAACTCTTTAAGTTAAATCTCTGCCTTCGAAGTCTCTCTCTCCTACATAATTTTAGGCCATTTTCTTCCAGGAAGATCTCAGTGTCTTTAGAGAGACATTGGCCTAGGATTTCTCAGTTAACCCCACACAGGAAAGGATGTTGTAATGTTCCTTTCAGAACTCTTTAAGGGTTAAATCTGTATGAGAGCATCTGGGAGCACAAGTGGCTGGCATTTGGGTTGTGATTCAAGATTTTGTTTGTAAGTTAAAACTAAAATTCTGATCATAACTCAAGTTGTTCATACATCAAACCAGTTGTAATCTGAGGATCCATTGTACTTTATCCTCTGGGTTGCCTTGTCAGTTTATAGTGTCTTTGAGGCACAAAGATTTTTAATTTTGATGAAATCTAATTTATCAGTCTTTTTCATTGCTTATATTTTTGGTGTTACATCCAAAAATTCTTTGTTAAATCCAATGTCATAAATTTTGTCTCTATTTTCTTGTAAGACTTTTAGTTTGAATAAACCAATATATGGTGTAAAGGAAAGGTTCAACTTTGTGGCTCTTCAGTTTTCCCAGCATCTTTTGTTGAAAAGGCTGCCCTTTTCCCATTGAATGTTCTTGGCACCCCTGTTGAAAATAATTTTCACTATACATGTGAAGGCTTTTTTCTGGACCCTGTTTGATTACAATGGTTGATATGTTTGTCTTTATGCCAGTGCCACACTGTTTTAATTATTGTGGCTTTGAAGTAAGTTTGAAATTAGGAAGTATGAGAGATACACAACTTTGTTCTTGTTTTCAAGATTATTTTGGCTTATCGGGATCCCTTCAGGATCCATGTGAATTTGGGGATGAAGTTTTCTATTTCTGCAAAAAACACCATTGGTAGGAACATTTATTGTTATACTTTCTTATAAGAGGTAATCACACATCTGTGCTCTTTCTCACAGTAGAATCTTTAGATGTTAGTGATGATAGTTCATTTTTCTCTTAATAAGCAAAGACTCATAAATACTTTCTAAAATTTGATTATCTAACTTTCGGGAAATAGATCATTAGTTTTATTCATTAAGCCAGAGTTTTTCATTTTTGAGACCTAAGCTCAAGGCAGCCACCCCTGACTTTCTAGACCAAATTGGATTCCTGTCCTATATGTTTCCTTCAAGGAAATTTGCATTTGTAATCAAATGCTCCTTTGACTACTTATTCTTCCACTGGATGGATAGTGTGTTTCATTAGGGAAGGGTCTGTCTCATTTTATCTTGTGTCATGGTGGTGGACACAAAGGAGATGCTCAACAAGTATTAGTACCTGGAATTTTTTTGGTGACTCATATTCTTCTAGTTATCTCTTCTTGTATTTAATTTCCCCTTTAAGATTATACATAAAATTAATTAATGTCCTCAGTAAAGCCCTGGGGTTACAAAAGTCAGATGACTTTTGATAAAATCCTGAGCTTTTGAGAGTGAATGTGATAAAAGTATGTGCAAATTTGTACTGTAATAAGATAGTTGTGTTGGGAAAATATCTTTACTAATGTTTCTGTGTCATTATGAAAAACTCAGACATATATATTTATATTTTAGAATCAACCAGTTTTGCTTTTTGGACGACCTCAGGGTGATGGTGAAATTCGAATAACCACTCTGGACAAACATACAAAACAAGAAAGGTAAGGAAAGAAGGCAAAGATTTATTTTCAGAGTAAGTAGTTCATTTTTCCAGGATGAAGGAAGGGAGGAAAAAGAAGAAAACCAAGAGAGTAGGCCAAGCTGTTCCTAAAATTTTCTGTTTTGAATATCTTAGGTATTTTTCTTTCTGCTCTGGTTTATATTAGTTTCATTAAGTTCTCAAGAATGAAGTGAAAAATATAGAAGATCAGCTAAGTTCAAAAAGTACACATTAAAATGATAATGGAGATGAAGTAATGATAGGTAACTGACATAAAAAATTAATGCTTTTTGATACTCACTTTAAAATAATTAAAAATAGTAGAAATATCCTAAAGAATAATTGAGAGCCATACAGTGAAAATTTTTCTTGAGGGGAATTTGTAGGAGGAAAATAACTAAAGAAATAATTGGCCTGTAGTCTTTGTACACACACACACACACACACACACACACACACACACAGAGTTGTCAAACATGCTTTTTTATAGTTCTGGAATCCTTGGAGAAGTTGTTATCAGCCAGCAGGGGGCAGCATCTGCTTTTGCTTCCACTTTGATACCCTGGCTCTACAGGTAGCTCTCAGGAGCCACATGGCCTTTAAACCACAGACTTTAGAAGAAACAAAAGTATTAGAGCTCTGTGAATAGTAATTGTCATCACTGTGTTACACATGTGCATGTTAGGCTCTGAGAGTTTATGAAATATATAAATATTGATATCGCATGATAGTGTTAGTTTTGTCTTCCATCAATTTCTACTTTTTATAAGAAAAAAATTAACTATAAATGATTAGTTTGTTCATATATTCAGTTCATGATACTGGTGGTCTATTAAATCCTAAAGAGCAACATAAATGGTAAAAGGATAGATTTGAAAATTAGACCTGGATATGACTTTTGCTTGTACTTCACTGGCAATGTGACCCTGAGAAAATTGTCTGACTTTGATAAACTTTGGTTTGCTCCCCAGTAAGGTGAAGATGATAACACCTATCCAGCAGGGACCTGCAGGCTTAACTTGAGCCCTGCTTGTGAAAGGACTGACCCCTTCCTTCATAAGAAATCCTAACTATGGTACCAATTTAGTATAAGTTAGCTGCTATTGCCATCATTTTTTGCTGAGATTTAGCTTTTAAATTAAAGGGTAATTGCTTATGAAAAACCTCTATGGATTAACTTCAGTTGTTCCTTTCAAATACTCAGCAGTGTATGTCTTGCTCTTACTATATAATTTTGACCATTTTTTGAATTAGGAAACTTTGGTGTGAAGAGGCCATTTATGTGGTAAAGGATAGTGCTGGAAACACACATTCTCAGAATACCATGTTCTTCAATTTAATATGCAACATTGCCTGTTGTCTCTAATGCAAAGAAGAATATTTGGTTGGTATAATGATATCTTACCAGGAAAAAATGAATACATATGGTACAGTTGGTATCTCTCTCTCTTTTATAGGCATATCTTCTTATTTGATCTGGCAGTGATTGTATGTAAAAGAAAAGGTGATAACTATGAAATGAAGGAAATAATAGATCTTCAGCAGTACAAGATAGCCAACAATCCTACAACTGATAAAGAAAACAAGAAGGTGACTTCTTGGACATTATTAAATATAACTTAGAACACTAAATATTCAAGAAAATTATATTAATGCAGCCATCCCTTGGTTTCAAAGATTCCCTTTCCATCATTATGGATACCAAATCCTGCAGGTTCTAAAGTCCATTAAGTAAAATGGCATAATATTGGCACATAACTAATGCACATCCTCCTATATACTTTAAATCATCTCTAGATAATTTATAATGCCAAATACAGTGTTGATTCCTATGTAAATAATTGTATTGTTTAGGAACAATGACAAGAAAAAGTCTGTACATGTTCAATGCAGGTGCAATTTTAAAAATATTTTTCCATTCATGCGTGGCTAAGTCTAGGGCTCTGGAACCCATCAACACAGAGGCCTGGCTGTCGTTAGTATGACAGTGGCTTATTGGCACAGGTGCTTTGTTTGTAGAGATTGCTTAGGTGCCGGCCTCTGTGAGCCATAGTTGGACACTGCCTGGAGATGGTCTGACCATCTCCAGGGCCCTGAGATCAAGACAGCAAAATGCATTTGTTACAGAGAAGCAGTTGACTATAGTAATAAGTTGGATTGTTCAGTTCATGTATTGATAATGTTGTGAGGGGGCTTTCAGTTTAGTATAGTGCTGATTTAATGCATTTCAAAACATGATATTTTAAATAAATGATAATATTAACCCACAGAATGTTAATTTTAACAGTGGTCTTATGGCTTCTACCTCATCCATACTCAAGGACAAAATGGGTTGGAATTTTATTGCAAGACAAAAGATTTAAAGAAAAAATGGCTGGAACAATTTGAAATGGCTTTGTGAGTATTTTTACTTTAAAAAGTTCTTTTTTTCTACTATTGAAATCATTTATGAATAATGAGCAAGCAGTGTGCTCTAATGCTTGCAGCATGTGTGCGGAGGCTCCGGAAGAGTGCTGTGAGGCTGTTCCCTTGGTAACTTGTTTTCTTCTAGAAAAGGAATTTCAGTGAATTTCTTCAAAAGGAAGGAAGAGGGAGCTCTAACCTTCTGTTTGACTTTCTTCTCCTAGGAATATTTTAATTATTTAGTTTTCAGCAGCTCAAGAAAATATGCACTATTCTAATAAACTTCTAATGGAATCACTGTTTTAAAATACACACTTTTAATTACATGTACATATGTGAATGTATCTTGATAAATTTATTTCTTTTTTCCATTTTAAGATCATTGTTTAAATGCTGGCTAAATTACGGTTAAAATTTTCAGTGAATGCTTTAAGCGCTTGATTTCTTTTTGTGTTCTTTCCTTTATTAAAGCCAGAGCTTTAACAAAAAGGTAGGAAATAAAACGGACCTATTTTCAAAAGAAATGGCGTACAGAGCTGTAATTTCCCAAGAACGTGTCACTAGAGGTGTTCTTTTTAGTTTAGATGTTTACAAATTAAAAGGTGCATAAGAACCCTTATGTAGAAACATATTGGTCATCCTTAAATGAAACTAGTTAGCAAAGTGTGGAATTAAGGAAAATCACTTTTGTGATTTGTTCATTTGTGTTCTAGCATTATTTACCTTTTGTTGGCAAATGCTGTCATTTTTTATTTCTTGTTTTTGTTTTAAGAAATGCTCTTGCTAATAATAAGTAGAGGTATTGAGGTGTTTTATTGAAGTACAGAAAAAATGAAAATAAAGATTCTCTTAATATTATTTTATTTATTTTGAGGAAATATTTTTAAGCTTCCAGACAGTTCTGGATCTTATTGTAATCAGTTCCATGTACTCAGTTTCATGAGCTGGCTGGGAATCTGCTTATTTAGCCTTTTTGGCCCTCAGTCTCCTCATCTGTAAAATAGAGATGATGTTTATTTTGAATTCCAAATAGTGTGTCTCAAGCGGAGTGCTAGCCATAGTCATGTGGTATCGATCAATAGATGATATTATTATTATTATTATTATTATTATTATTAATGTTTTATATTAGGATCCTACTTTACTTATGAGTACTTATAAAACTAAAGAGTAATTAGGAACCTAGTTTAATTATGGGTACTTATAAAACTAAAGTGTGCCTCTCAGTGTACTCTTACAGATAGTCCTTATCATTTATTGTTACTCATTGTGCTAGTTAAACCGAAAAATTTAGTAGTTTTGTGCATTAATGCAGAGCCTGTATTTCAGGGACACTCTTTGGGGAAGAAGCAGTGAAGTTGATGAGTCCTGTCCAGTCCATGGTCAGTAGTGGACTTTATCAAACAGCTAGCGTCCTCTCAGTGAGACACCATGAGTTGGACAGATAGAATTGGAGTGGCAGGCTGCTGGGATTAGGGAGACTGTATAGAGGCAGAGCTTATCTCAAGCTTTTGTTCACGTGGAAGATGCTAGACCAGCATCTCTATTGGATTTGTTTGGCTATGTGATCTTTGAATGAGTGAAGGAATTTCTGCAGCGGAGTAAAGTTAAATTTCTTGTCCCAGAGCGGGCAAGCTCCTTTGACTGTATGTCAGACATATTATATCATTAACTATTATTTTCAGTTGCCATAAATCAAATAGTGGGCCTCTAAAGCAAGAAAGTTGATAAAATAATTGCTTATTCTCTTTCATGTACAGGAATTTGGGATGGGTAGAGTATGGCCTAGGTATGGTGGCTCACGTTGTATCATCGTAACTCAGGCTCCTGTCTTGGAGCCATCATCAGCATTTAGTTTCTGTCCTCAGTGTTGGTCACACTATAGTCTTCAGGTAGCTGCTGGAGCTCTACCTATGAAATCTACATTCTAAGTGGTAGAAGGTGGTCACTTACTTTTAAGGATCCTTTGATAACCCACATTTCTATTACCTGATACTGACCAGAACTTACTCTTGTGGCCACATCTATCCAGGAACCTGGGAGTTAAAATCTTTATTCCAGGTAGGATTGTGCCTGGCTTAGAATTGTAGTTCTCTTACCACAGAAGAAGAGGAAGGGATAGTTGTAGGCAGCTGTCCCTGGCTTGCAGGTATATATGCACAGGAGTGTGGGTGGATTTAAGTTGTTCTTTCACAGTAGGGATGGCAGCAACCTGTGAGCAGGAAACCTGGAATTCTTAACCTTTGATTATTTTCCGAGCATCTCAACAATATAGTAAAACATCAGTGGATGTGGTTTTGTGTTTTAGAGTTCTGTGGGTTGCCCGTGTGTTTTCTGCTGCACTGTAGATAAAAGAAGACTAAGAAATTCTGTAGCATTGACGACGGCAGAAGAAAGTCAGCTTTGTCTCTCCACAGTGACCTTAGCACAAACCTGGGTCCTGGAAGTCTCTGTAGCCCCTCTGGAAAGTATGTGTTAAGGAATGGGAGGGATTGAGGGAGGCTAATCAAGGGAATTAATATTTTTCAGACTGATAAAATATTTCCTAACTGTGTTTACAGAAGAGATTGTGTGAGTAGGATGCTTGGATCATTTTTATTTAAGAACATTCCAGATCACCTTTAAGGCACTTGAAATACTGCTCTTAATTTAGAACATTTAAAAAAGGTCATAGGAATGTATGAGTACTAATAAACAATAAAGATCCTCTGAACACAAATCGTCTCCCCAGTGGTGACCTGAATCTCAGCCTCTGTCTGTCGTGAGCACACCGCCATCCTTGCTCAGCAGCTGTGTTCTTGACCTTCTTTGGCCATAACCACTTCCAGCATTTAAAATATGCAGTGGACCACATTAGAATGCCGTAGGAAAGGCTGAGCAAATAGAAAAGCAGCAGTGATCCACTTGGATAGGGCAGGACGTAGGAGGTTTTTCTTTTTTCCTGTGAGAAGAGGTAGCAGGACTATCACTCTTGAGGCTGCTGGAACAGTTATGGAGCCAAATGATGTTTTAGGGCTGTATTCTGGGGATCTTGTTCTAAAGAATATATTTAAATCTTTAAGACAATGATAGATAGGCATCGCTTACTTTTATTTATTCCAAAGGGCATTTTTGTTATCAACTGTCTCTCATAATTCCATTCAGTCATCTGTGAAATAAGATGGCAAGTATTTTTAACGGGTTAAGCTGGTTTTCATAATGATGTTGAAAAATGTGAATATGAGTGCCTGCAGCAATGTTTAGAATTTTGTTAGGAAACCATGGTTATGTTTCTCTCAAATTCCTTATATGCGTTATGTTTTTATAGTTTTCCAATTAGACTTGAATTAATAAACCTTATCATACCCATTTTATACCTCAGGTAACTGCTAATCACTGGTGCACTTCAGCAAATTTGGACAAAATCTGTGGTGCATAATTTGCAATAGAGTTCAGGATCTCATGGTTTCATAGGGTTTTCTTTGTCCTTGAGGTTGCTGAAATAAGTAACCAGACTCAGATCTTGTTGTGTAAATTAAGCCAGTGGCTCCTTTTTTTTTTTTT